GGCCCAAACTGGAAAGAATGTGAATATTCACCAATAACATAATGACTGAATAGATTATGTTGCCCCCATATTGTGAGACCTTATGAAGCAATTTTTAAAAATTAGTTGTATCTCTGTATATTGACATGGAGGCCTGTTATAGTTATAAATAAAAATGTAAAAATTTAGAGTAAAATTCTAAATAAAATTCTAAATTAAAAAATGTAAAGACAAAAATTCTAGACCTAGCTACAGATGTTTGCATATGAGGATGCACACCCCAAAATTCAAGGAATTGAATTTTTTCCCAAATTTCAGCAATCATGAAAGTTATTAACTGAAATTGGTATAATGTATCTGGAGGGCAATTTGTCAATATGCATTAAGATCTGAATGTTCATGGCCTTTGACAATGTATCATTTTAAGGATCTTTTGCCAAGAAAATAACTTAGGAATGCTTGCAGCAATGTAATTGCGAGAATATTCATAGCATTTTGTGCTTCTTTTTCTTTTCTCTCTTTTGTTTTTTTTTAAAAATTTTTGGCCATGCCACACGGCATGTGGGATCTTAGTTCCCTGATGGAACCCGTGCCCCCTGCAGTGGAAGCGCAGAGTCTTAACCACTGGACCGCCAGGGAAGTCCCAGCATTTTGTGCCTCTAATGGAGAGCTGTTGGGAGAAATCTCTATTCAACAATAGAGGGGTCGTTAAACTGAGGCACAGCTACACATGGAATCCTACAGTGCCATGAAAAACAAATTTTGTAAGTATATTTACTTCCATGAAAGATGTCGATTATATATCGTGATGTGGAAAATTCAGGTTAGAAAACAGCATGGACAGTGTAATTACGTTTTGATTTTGTAATGCAATGAGTGTATGTATGTATATTGGAAAGAATTTGAAAATCAACACTATGAAATGCTAATGGCGATTGCCAGTGTGTGGCAGACCTTGGGAAGGCTTTGCTTTCATTTTCACTTCATTGTATTTTGTCAAAAAATTTTTGTGTGTGTGGCAAGCATGTATTGCTTTTATAATAAGATTATTTTTCAATATTAAAAAATCACTGTAATCTCTGTCTTCTGCCCCTTTCCCTGTTCTAGGATGCATCTCCCTCATGGAATTGTAGCTGCAGTAGAATCTGATATTTTCTTGACTCCATTATCACCTAAAGAGGTGTCCTTTTAGTCACATACCCCACTGGGGGAGAAACGCTACCCCACGCTCTGCCCTTATGTCTTGAGTGAACTGGCCACAGCGGCTCTTGGGTCTAGGGGAGGGCATGTAACACCTGCTGGCCAACTAGAGCATTGCAACCTCCCCCCTCCCCCACCCCAGGCCAACAACCACAATTATTGGTTCAGGGCTTGGGAAGGATGGCAGCCTGGGGATGAGAAGAACCATGGGCAAAGAGCACAGACTCAAAGTGCTCCCACACCTGGCCAGGTGGAGCTTTGAAAAGAGGAGTATTTCTGAGGAAAGACGAAACATGAAAATTTTTGGTGGCACAAATTTTTCCAAACAATTGGAACCAAGCTCTTCCGTTTCCCAGATCATATTTGGCATCCTGCTTTTGTCACTTAGCAATGTATCTGTAAGATTTGCATATAGAGAATTTTTATGACCGTTTTAAAGGGTGTTCTGCTAACCATGGTCGGAATTCAGGTGGAAAAGGCCAGTCTTGAACTTTGCTTGCCACCATGGCAAACAGAAAAGAGAGATCTGGAGGGTCTCACACCAGGAATTAAATGATTTGGTCTAGAAGTGACATATTACTCACTGGCCAGTACCACTCACATGATCCCACCCATGCATAAAGAGCCTGGAAGGTAGAGAGCTGGAAACATCAGTGAAGATGAAGATAAAATGGTAATAGCTGTGTCAAAGTGATTGTGAATTTAAAATTTGATAAATATTGGCCAATTGTTTTCCAAAGACACTGCCTCAATCTGCATTCCCACAGTAGTCTTAGAGGGTACATTGCCCCACATCCAACCAGCACTGGGTTCTCTCAAAGGATTTTTTTTTTGTTTAATTTGCTCTGAGCAAATTAAAAGATGCTCCACTACCAGGGGGGAGCATCTTATTACTTTGAGTTTCATTTCTTTAGTTGTGGTGGAGATTGAATATTATTCCATAGTTTATTGGCCATTTCTATTGCCTTTTTTTGGATGAACTATTGGGTTATTTGTCTTTGTGCAAATAGTTTGGAATGGGTATCATTGTAGGTCAACTTTTGCCCATATCTTTTACTTTCTTCTCCAGGATAAATTCCCAAAGTTGAATGGATGAATGCAAGGCCATTCAGATTCTCGAGGCTTTTTGTATTTATTAGCAAACTGCCCTTCTAAAACGTACCAACATATACTCTCACAAAACACACTAGAACATGTTCATTTCCCTTGAGGCACTGTCAACACGATTTTATTTTTTTTCTTTTTGGCCGCATCACTCTGCATGTGGGATCTTAGTTCCCCGACCAGGGATGGAACTTGTGCCCCCTTCAGCGGAAGCACGGAGTCTTAACCACTGAACCGCCGGGGAAGTCCCCCAACACGAATTTTTATTACTTAAAATAAAAATGAAAAATATGCTAGTATGGTAGTAAGTCATTCTATAGAAGGTCTTTCTTTGAATTTCTGTTTTCTCTTATAAAATGCATATTTATTCAATTATAAAGGTAATACAAGTTTATTGCAAAAAATTCAAATGTATAAAATAGAAAATATGAGTCCCCTGTGGTCTCATGCCTAAAAACATAGCTAATAACTCTCTGATATATATCTTTTCAGATTCTTTTCTAGGTTATTAGTTATTAACATAAATAACTACTGCAATTAGTCTATTATTATTGTTTTACAAATCTTTGACATACTCTTATACTGCTTCTTTCATTTTTAACTAAACAACTTACTGTCTCCCCATGGCAGTATCTGCAAGTCTGGTTTAATCTCTTTAATGAATGCCTGTTATTTCACACTATGTATATAATGTAACATCTTTAAATAATTTCACGTTGGTGGACATTGGAGTTATTTGTAAAAATTTCCAATAAAATAATGTTTATTCCAAATTTCACAGTGTTGTAATAAAAATTCTTGTGCTTAAATTTTGTATTATACTTTTTTTTACAGTGGGCAAGGAGTAAATTTCCATTTCTTGGATTACTAGAGGGCGTGCACATCTTTTTTGTAGGTTATCAGCCACTTACATGTTTCCTTCAATAGCCTTGATGTTCATGACCATTTTCCTTTTGGTTTTTCTCTCGGTGGAGGTCTTCGTATTTTTCTCCTTTATTTAAAGAAGTCTTTATACGTTATGTTGCAAATATTTTCCTCCGGATTTCTATTTGCCTTTGAAAGCTTTGCACGTGTTTTGGCCACGAAAATGTTAAAATCAGGAGCAAGAAATATCAGTTCTCGCTGAATAGACTCGGCGCTGTGGGAGGGTTTTCCGCAGCGCTGCGTGGACCTCCTTGTTCCGCAGGCAGTAGACTAGATCAGGCAGCACATGGGCGTGGCCACCGTGTAGATGACAGACAGCAACTTGTTGAGGTCAGTGGGTTCGACACGGCTGGGGCGGGAATACGTGAAGAGAACCACTGAGCAGAAGATGTCCACCACAGTCAGGTTGGGGGCGCAGGTGGAGGGGTTGCTGCCGGCAGCAGCCGAAGGCATTTGGAGCACAGCCCTCCTGATGGTCGCATATGAGGCCAGAGCAACTAGCAGAATCCTGCAGATGACGATGGCAGAGATGAAGTCGACCAGCTCCGTCAGGGTCACGTGGGTGCAGGACAGGTTGAGCAGAGGGGAGACATCACAGAAAAATTGGTTGAGGACATAGGGGCCACAGGAGGACAGGCTGGCGATGCATGATATCTTGACCACCGAGACCAACAGCCCACAAAGCCATGAGGACAAAGCTAAACCCAGGCATATCTGGGGCCTCATGAGCAGCAGGTAGGGTAGTGGGTGGCAGATGGCCACATAGTGGTCATAGGCCAGGGAAGCCAGGAGGGTGCACTTGGTGCCAATGAGAGATATGAATTAAAAAAGCTGAATTATGCAGGCTGTGAAGGGCACATGGCATGCACCGGACCTCAGCCCCACGAGCAAGCTGGGCATGGTCACTGACATGTAGCACATCTCCAGGCAGCTCAGGTTGCCCAGGAAGAAGTACATGGGCTTTCAGAGCTCACCATGACTGCAGACAAGGAAAATGATGCACGTTTTCTCCAGGTGGGTCAGCAGGTAGAGAGTCAGGAAGACGGCAAACAGCACAATCCTTATGCCTTGCCTGGCAGATAAACCCAGTAGGATAAACTTTTGCACTCTGGACATACTGCCCAAGTCCAGAGACCTCTCCATCTATGTAAGAAAGAAACAGCTTTGTAGAGACCATGATCCATGCAGAAATAAATTGATCAAAGGGCGAGAGCATATACAGTTAGGGCCCCTAGAGCCAATGCTACTTTGCTGTAGGTTGACTCTTGCTCTGAGCGCCAGCAAGGAGCAGTTGGGAAATTGCAAAACCGGAAACGGAAAATTTAACACTTTACTACATCTCTGATCATTGACAAGATACTCAACCTTTCTGAGCCTCCATTATCTTATCTGTAAAATGGAGGTGAAATCTATCCCCAGGAGGTCCTTAGTCCTTATGGATATTAAACATAGCAACAGACGAGAAAGTGCTTTATAAAGAGAGTCATGATTATTCCTTTACTTTAAAAAAAATACATTTATTTATTTTTGGCTGTGTTGGATCTTCGTTGTGGTGCATGGGCTTCTCTTTGCGGTGGTTTCTCTTTGCGGTGGCTTCTCTTGTTGTGGAGCACCGGCTGTAGGCGCATGGGCTTCAGTAGTTGTGGCTCACAGGCTCTAGAGTACAGGCTCAGTAGTTGTGGCGCACGGGCTTCATTGCTCCATAGCATGTGGGATCTTCCCGGACCAGGGCTCAAACCCGTCCCCTGCATTGGCAGGCTGATTCTTAACCACTGCGCCACCAGGGAAGCCCCATGCACTGCTTTTTGAGCATCCCCTGCCATTTGCGAGCTTTTCCGAAGACACAACATGACCAATCTCAAGGCAGTGCCCGTTTTCTTCCTCCGGGTTTCTCAGCGGTCCCTGAGATACAGCTGCTCAGCGCTGCTGCCTTCCTTTTGGCTTACCCGGCCGCGTTTCTGGGGAACATCTCCATCGTCGCCGCCGTGACGCTGGACGCCCGCCTGCACACGCCCATGTACTCCTTCCTCAAACACCTCTCCTTGGTGGATATCTGCTCCGTGTCCACCACCCTGCCCCGGGCCCTGGTGGCCACCCTGCTGGGCTCGGGGCAGATTTCCCTCCATGCGTACATGTCCCAACTCTGCCTTTGTCTGCCTGGAGTCCGCAGAGTGTTTTCTCATCACCTCCATGGCTTGACCATTGTCTGGCCACCTACAGGCCCCTGGTGTACGGGGCAGCCATGAGGCCCCAGACCTGCGTCTCCGTGGCGGCGGCCTGGGGAAGTGGGCTCCTCTTCTCTGCCCTCCCCTAACCAACACCTTCTCCCTGCTCTTCCGCGGCCCCAACGTGATTGACCACTTCTGTGACATCCCACCACTCACGCGCCTAGCCTGTGCCAACACAGGTGTCCACGACTGCGGGATTTGCAGCCAGCGGTTGCGTCATCAGCAGCTGTTTCAGCCTCACTGTCCCATCCTATGTGCGCATCTTGGCCACGGGGGTTCAGATCCGCTCAGCAGCCAGCCCCTGGAAGGCCTTCTCCACGTGTTCCTCCCACCTGGCCACCGTCCTCCTGTTTTACGGCACTGGCAGCTCTGCCTACATGCCCACCGCGCGATATTCCCCACAGCAAGGGTGCCTGGCTGCCGTCTTCTACTGCATCCTCATGCCCACCCTAAACCCGCTTATCTACAGCCTGAAGAACAAGGACGTGAAGGGATCCCTGCGGAAGCTGTATCTTCAGGTGCCACCTTAAGACATGGAGTGACCCAGAAATCCAGCCTCACAGGATTTTCCTTGTGGTCATAGTGGAGGTGTTAATGTCTCCAGAGACCACCAGGAACACACTGGGTGGCCCAAAAAGTTGACAACAACGTTGATGCTGATTCATGCAGGAAGCCCCAATAGGCAGCTGGATAAAATGGAGACGTGTCCAAGGTGCATTTAATTTAGGCAAATGGTACTGTACATACACAGGGGAAGGTAGAAAGAGGGAGAGAAAAATTTAAAAAACAGTTGACTTTCGGTATTCACGGGCTCCACATTTGCGGATTCAACCAACCGTGGATCGTGTACTCTGTTTACAATCCCTGGTTGGTCGAACCCATGAATGCAGAACCTGTGGGTATGGAGGGCAGACTATGGGACTTGAGCATCCATTCTGGTATCCTGGTGGGTCCTGGAACCAATCCCCTGTGGGTACTGAACGACAACTGTGGTAAGGGGTCATTTCATCCCAAAGCCCACCAATGACCCTGTATCCTGGAGTGTGAGTCCACTAGGGGACTTTCTGCTCAGCTCATCCATTTCCATGGACCTCCCACAAGTGATCACACCTTGACCTGCTCAAAATGATTCTAATGCTTAGTGGTACACACATTCCATCTAATATTTGTCTGAAATGCAAGTCAGTGAGTTCATCAGAAGAAGCAACTATTCTGGAAGAAAAACAGTCCATATCGTACTTGCAGAGACACGGTCTTCATGTGGCTCCTTCCTAAGAGAACATCAGGGATACATTTTTCTTTCTCTAATGTTTACCTAATAGCACTGTATTGGTTGGGTTTTGGGTTCAGCTGCTTTAACAGACCAAACAACAGTGGCTTAAATAATACAGAAGGTTTTTTTTTTTCTCTTTCCTGTAAACATGGGTGTCTCTACACCACAAAGTCATCCTGAGACCAGGTTCCTCCCATCTCATTGCTGTACCATCCCATACAGTCTCCTTATCCACGTGGTAGGAGAAGGCTTACTAGCAACTCATTCACAGTCCAGCTGCAGGAAGGAAGACAGAGGAAGTAGAGGGCAAGGAGAGTGCTTTTCAGATGTGACCTGGAAGTTGTACCCATCACTTCTGCTGACATCCCATTGGCCAGTGCTTAGTCACATGGCCGCTCTGACCTGCAAGGGATGCTGGGAAATGTCTCCAGCTGGGTTGCCATGTGCTCAGATAAAGCTCCAGAAAAAAATGGAGAGAACAATATTTACTATTTTTTAATCACTCCTCCACATCTGATCTCTTGATGAGCCACCATTTTTAAAAATAATTTTATTTTATTTTTGGCTGCATTGGGCCTTCGTTGCGGCGAGCGGGGGCTGCTCTTCGTTGCGGCGCGTGGGCTTCTCACTGCGGTGGCCTCCGTTGCGGAGCATGGGCTCTAGGTGCACAGGCTTCAGTAGCTGTGGCACGCAGGCTCAGTAGTTGTGGCTCGCAGGCTCTAGAGTGCAGGCTCAGTCATTGTGGCACATGGGCTTAGTTGCTCCGCAGCATGTGGGATCTTCCCGGACCAGGGCTCGAACCAGTGTCCCCTGCATTGGCAGGCGGATTCTCAACCACCGCACCACCAGGGAAGTCCCCAAGCCACTATTTTTTATTCCACCTATTGTCATGCTTCCAATTCTTCCCTTTTTTCCCAGGCCACCTGTACTAGTCACTTTTATACATTATCTCTATCACTCTTTATAAAATCCTCTTCATTTTACATGTGGAAGATGAAGTTCAGATAGGATAGGCAATCTACCCAAAGTTCAGAGGGTTGAGAAAGGATCCAATATTTTTGGTCCAGAACCATTTGGGGTTCTACTTTGCGGGAGGGGGTGTTCTGCTTTTTAATGATAGAGATTGGATTGTATTTCTCTAGGACTTTAAAAAATCTTACCTTGTTGAGACATTTCTTTGGGAGTTTTTAGGAGAGGGTTGCAGTGCTACCAACATATCCTTGAGGGTTGAAGAGCTCTCCTTTACTTGAGAACATCAACCTCTTGATCAAATGCATAATCCCTGGGAGAGACAGAAATTGGCATGTGACCAGCCAGCCAGATCAGGCAAGTCTTTGGTGATTCCTGGGGTTGGCAGGCACATGCTAATGAGTCCCATCCTGGTATAATCCCTTCCCCTTGTGTGGGAGGAAACTGTGATTTAACTTTAGCAAATAGAATACAGCAAAGGTGACAGGTGTCACTCCCACGATTACCTGAGATATACTGTCTGAGGCAGAAAACATCAAGGCCCTTGGTGTAACCCCCAGACCCCTGAGTGGCCAACTCCCTATCAGCTCCAAGGTCACCTCATCCGAACAACCTTCTGTGGCCCTGCCATCCAAAGCAGATCTCCTCCAGGTGATTCACCATGCCTGCATCCTGTTTTGTTACCTCCATTGCATTTATCATCCTTCTGAAATTACCTAAGTTATTCAGTTTGTTTGCTCTGCCCCGAATCCCCATCCCCTTCCTTCAGATATAATCCCCATGAGGGCAGCGCTCTGGTCTCCTCAGTACTGTATCGCCTGTGTGTCGTAGTGTCTGGCACACACTGGTGTTCAATGTGTATTTTTCTGAACGAATATGAAGCAGAACAGCAAAACACAAAAATCAGAGCTTCCCTGGTGTGAGCTGGGGTCCGGGGGCTGGGATCCCTGAGCCTTGGTGGTTTCCTATCTCCATGGTCATTTCTGCAACACCTGCCTGGAATCTTTGGGCCCCACAAATCCAGTTCAGACACCCCTTCCTGAATCAGATTAATACCTGCTAGTGAATCTAAACCACCATTCATTGAAAGATACTCCATTATTTTAAGTTTCACTAAGGAAGAAAAAGATACTGCCAATCAAACCATGACACCTCATCAACAGAACACATCCTGATCCATGTTAAAACATGCTGTTCAGCCTTCAGATCACAGTTCAAGCATTACTTCCTTATCACCCCCTGCTGGCCAACTTAGCCCATTTTTCCTTCTATACTCTCATCACTCATTTCTTCAAAATATGCATTGCAATTTTAATTATTCTATAATCATTTGTTTAAAATTTGTCCCTGACACTAGAATGAAAGTTGCATGAACACAGACATTACTTTGGCTTATTTACTGTGGTGCTGATAAATCAACTCTCTGGAAAAAAAAAAAAAAGCATTTGTCAATTTCCATGGTGTAAACAATCTCACCACAGCTAATGCCAAGCTACTGATAGCTTAATGACTGATTTGCAACATTCTTGAATGTTTAACAATTAGCTCTTGTGAGCTGGTACTGGCATGCTCCAGCACACAGTTGACCCAGACCAGATTCTCCCTGTACATAATAGAAGCTCAATAAACAATTGGTTAGTGAATGGATAGACCATCGTTGAATCACATTGAATGGACATGTAGCAAGCACTTCAGACTTCACACAACTACACAGAGCTCTTCAGTTATCCTCCACACCTGCATCTTCCCCAGTTTTCACCCCACTTAGTGGCACTGTCATCCATGAATCAGGACAGAATCCTAGAAGGCATACTGTATGGTCAGGCCACTCAAGGTGGCTGTTTTCTTGCTCTCTACATCCCTGCTGGACCAGCGCCTGCATCACCTACACTCACACACATGACTGACTTTCCTACACTTGCCCCAAGTCCCAACTGATGATTGTTCTTATCAAAGGGGCCGTGAGGGTCGTGCTCCTCTGCTGGTTTCCCTGGTAACCAATGAGCCCACCTGATGTTAATTCCCCCATAACTGGCAATCTCCCCTTCCTCGCCACGGAGAGAAGACGCCATATCCTGCCCGCCGTCTGCCACACACGGTGCGGTGTTGCTTCAGACGTGTAAGCGCCCCAACCCATTAAACCACTGATGTCTCTGTTGCTGACTCCGGGCTCTTTCTTCGGTCTTGAGGCCGGGCAAGTTCAGGCCTTGAGGCCTGTGGGGTGCAGCCCAACAACTGGCAGGGCCAGCCAGCAGACCGAGGAAACTCCTGTGAGCACCAAGATGTCGGGAAATACAGGATGGGAAATGGAAAGTTGTGGGGGCTGTCCGCTCACATGTGGGGCCCAAAGGTTTCAGGGGTGATCCTGAATGTTGCAGGGGAAATCCCAGGGTGGCTGTCCACTAGTATGCAGGGCCCTGTGGTGGCTGTTGATAAAACAAATGTTCACACGTTGAGATACAGGGAAGTCATTCAGGCTTATACCTGAGTTAACTTGAATGTTATGCTACTTAAAATAGCCTGTTTGTGGCCTGTCGTATATACGTTGTACATCTGCTTTAATTAGTTAAGGGCACACTGACCAGAAGGAAAGAATGTCCATGTTAAAAATAAAGATTAAGTGCCTCTCTTCCTTTTCCTCCTTTAATGATAAAGACTCCCTTCCCAGGTTCCAAGGCCATACTGACTTGCTGTGTATGTGCTGATCTGTTGTTGTTTTTTTTTTGAAACGTTGAAGAAATATAACCCTGACTTGTTTAATGTTCTTTGCTCTGACAATATATAAAACTGCTGAAAACTGGAGCAGCTTCTCAAGAGTAATCTGGGAAGATGGCTTTCAGGTTGACCTTCAGTTTGGCTTATAAAAATAAAAACTCTTTTCTATAATAAAACTCTTTTCTATTCTTCTACAGATTATTATTTTCATTAACATTGCTTTGGCGTAGTTAGCAGGATATCAGAAGAACCCACCTGAGGTCACCTGGAGTCTCCTTTAGACCACGCTTGTAACAAGCATGGGCCCCTTGAGCCCCTCTGGCTTCACAGCACCCTTCAGGTGATTTGGTGAGTTTTTCCTGATACCTGGGTCTCCTTATACTAAGTGATGGTCCACGACTTTTATTTGAGCTGTTATCTTAAGACTTGGAGTCTTAAGAGGGTGACGGTAGGTGTCCTAGGCAGAGGACCTGGGGGAAGGTCCAGGCAAGAAGGCCTGGAAGGAATTTTGCAGTCAACTGGGTTGGCTGATTTTTTAAATGTGGCTTAAAATTGGAAATTTAAATTTAGATT